TGGAGTGGAGATAGCTGCTCGGGAGGTGCCCTGATCTCGACCGAGATAACCTGGGAATTCTTCCCGTCTCTGTCTATTGTGGGTTCTAAATAAACCTTATTGCACTCGCACTTGGATCCTGAGTTTCATTTCCCGTAACATCCATCTTATCGGCAAGGGATTTCGGCTTCCTTTTTTTTAAACGTTTACAATAAGCCTTTATCGGCCGATTCCAATAATGTTCCTAGTTAATAAAACCTTACTTGTATCACACTTGACGTGTTCATTGTTTGCTCATAACTGAGTCTCTTAATCATGCAGATTTATGCTACAAGCTTTTGTAGAATTGTACAGTAAGAAAGTTATTTCCCTTAACCAGGAAACTAACGTTCTTAGAATTGACAGACAGTTGACCCTGAGAGGTCAGCTAAATATCTACAGCGGATCTAAATATTCATAATTAATTATAACTAGTTATGATTAATTATTCATATTTCCTCATGAGCTGATTCGTTACAGATAATATTGTGCATCCCTAATTATTATTATTTTCTTTAAATATTTTTTGTATATTTTTTTATTTTCTATTTACTTATCCTTTTTCTTATTTTTATTATCTGTCTTGTGTTGTCACTGTCATTCTGTTACACTGTGGAAGCTTCTGTCACCAAAACAAATTCCTTGTATGTGTAAACATACCTGGCAATAAAGCTCTTTCTGATTCTGATTCTTGATAGCGAAACAATCTCCTATTTGATAAAACAAAGAAAGACAGACCATTTAATTTATATTTTAACCTCCCGTCACTAATCCAACCATAACAAACTGCCAGCAAGGGGAACTAACATGTTTTCACGGTTGCTTGGCCTTAATACATGGCTACAATGAACCTGCAATATAAAAGGAGTCAACTTCATCGACAAGTTCAATCTTTTCTGGCGTCATAGACAACTGTTTAAACCGGTTGGCCTCCACCCAAACAAACTTGGTGCAAGAGTGCTAAAGGACAATATCTACTTCTTTGCTCCTTTGAAAGTCAGCAGGAAGACTGGCAGACAGAAATCAGCTTGGAGAAAATCAACAGCAGTTCAGAGTATGAAAAGACAATGCAGAAAAGCTGAGCGGATGTGGCGGAAGACGAAACTTGAAATACACTATAGCATATATAAAGACAGCCTTCATGCTTTCAATGTGGAACTAGGCAAAGCTAGACAGACTTGCTTCTCAAATCTTATAAACAGTAACTTAAACAACACTCGCACTATTTTTGCTACTGTTGAGAGACTGACAAGAGACTGTAGTTTAATTCCCTGTTTGTGTCATGCTTCCCTTACCCTCATGTATTCATGCCATTGGTTCTCTTGTTCATTGTGTCATGTTCTGATTGGTTGTCTTAGTCATGTGTCTTGTTTCCCATTGGTTTGTTCATGTCATGTGACCCTCATTGTCTGCTATAAGTAGCCCTCATGCTGCCATTGTCTTTTGTCGTGTATTGAAGTTGTAACCCGCTGTCGGTGAGTCTAGTCTGTTCATGCCACGTCAAGTCTGTGTCTCGGTTTATGTTTGGAGTTTGGATCACCTGTAAAACTGCACTTGGGTTCTCAGTACGCTCACCTTCAGTGGACTGAATTCGTTACAGAATACACGACCCCAAAAAATGAACCCAGCAGATCATCTTGTTCGCCTCCGTCAGGGTAATCGCTCCATTGAGGTGTATGTGGAGGACTTTTGTGGGCTTTGTCACCAGGTAGACTTTAATGAAACCTTCCTAAAAGACATTTTTCGTTATGGTTTGGACAGAAATGTATCTCGGTTAATGCCATGTAATACCCCACACTGGTCACTAGAACAATATATAGACTTTGCTCTGCAGTTGAGTGGATCTGCTTTCACTGTGGGTATCGTGGAGAAGGAACACGGCACTAAACCAGAGCTAGAGTCTGCTCATGTCACGTCTGTCAAGCCAGAGTCTGTTCACGTCATGTCTGCTAATGTCATGCCTGCTATGCCAAAGCCTGCTCACATCATGTCTACCAAGCCACAGCCTGCTCACGTCATTACAGTTAAGTCAAAGTTTATTCATGTCATATCTATCAAGTCAGAACCTGTTCACTTCATGTCTACCAAGCCAGGGCCTGCTCATGTCATGTCTGCTACCCCAGGGCCTGCTCACGTCACGTCTGTCAAGCCAGAGCTTGCTCACGTCATGCTGACACATCAAGAGATTCTTCACAACATGTCCGCCATTCAAGAGCTTCATCGCAAGATGGCCACCACACAAGAGTCTCTTCACAAAATGGCCGCCCTTCTAGAGTCTCGTCACGACATGGCCGCCATTTCAGAGTCTGCTCACACCACGCCTGGGTCCCCGGCCAAGATGGCCGCCACGCCTGGGTCCCCGGCCAAGATGGCCGCCACGCCTGAGTCGGACGCAAAGCTTGGGCCAAGACTGAAAGGTTTGATTGCTAGTGTGATGGGCCCACCTCTGATGTCGGCGCGAGCTGCAGGCATCCCGGTGACGTCAGCACTCTCAAGCCCCGCCATCTTAGAGGTCATGCCACACTCTGTTGCCCTTCCTGTAATGGCGGTCACCATTTTGAGCGTGTGGGCTGCACACTGCGCTCCTGAGGCCTCTTCTGTCCACGAGTCTGCTCCTGAGGCCTCTTCTGTCCATGAGTCTGCTCCTGAGGCCTCTTCTGTCCACGAGTCTGCTCCTGAGGCCTCTTCTGTCCACGAGTCTGCTCCTGAGGCCTCTTCTGTCCACGAGTCTGCTCCTGAGGCCTCTTCTGTCCACGAATCTGCCCCAGTGGCCTCTCTATGAGTCTGTCATGAACACACAGACTGTCCTGTCACGGCCACGGAGGCCGTTCACGAACTCACTGCCTGCCCTGTGCCACGGCCAAGGAGGCCGTTCACGAACTCACTGCCTGTCCTGCCACGGCCAAGGAGGTCGTTCACGAACTCACTGTCTGTCCTGCCACGGCCAAGGAGGCCGTTCACGAACTCACTGTCTGCCCTGTCACGGCCAAGGAGGCCATTCAAGAACTCTCTACTTGTGCTGTCTCAGGCAAGTGGTCGGTCCATGTCTCTGCACCACCATGGCTTCCTGCTCTGCCGTCATCACCCGGCCGCCCTGCTCTGCCTGCTCCACCATGGCTCCCTGCTCTGCCTGTTCCGCTTCATGGGCCTGGCCCTCCGTCCCTCCCCCAGTTCCGCCTTCACTCCACCACCCTCCTGGACTTGTGGGGTTTTGGTTGTGTTTGTTTGGGCGTCTGGAGCCGCCCTTAGAGGGGGGGATATGTTTTGGGTTGTGTTTCTTGTTCATGTTTTCATGTCTTTTATTTTGTAGTTTAATTCCCTGTTTGTGTCATGCTTCCCTTACCCTCATGTATTCATGCCATTGGTGCTCTTGTTCATTGTGTCATGTTCTGATTGGTTGTCTTAGTCATGAGTCTTGTTTCCCATTGGTTTGTTCATGTCATGTGACCCTCATTGTCTGTGTATTGAAGTTGTAATTTAAAGTTTTAATTCTTTTTAAATCATTAAAAAAAATTTACATTTCTTGTTTTATTGTTGTGATTATATTTTTATGAATATTTTAATTTCTCATTTCTTTTATATGTAAAGCACTTTGAATTACCATTGTGTATTGTTAATAAATAACAATTTGGTCCCTCGATATCTCTTTGCCACCGTGAAATCTTCTCAGTCTCTCCAAGTGTAAATAAATACGGCCGGGAAGTAAGAAAACACACATTCAAATGTATTCTCAAATACTTCAATTTATTCACAGAAATACAGATCTTATATAGGCATGTCGAGGGGAGTTTTCACCCTCTTAACCAATGAGGATAGGGGGACATACCCATACAGGATGTTTTTCCCAAGAACATGTGTTTTGTATAAAATTGCCACATATACAGAAAAACATATCCATATAAGGAATAGACTTCCTGGCGACAGAGGCTGAACCCCCCTTATAAATCAGCACAAACTCCTTTACCTTGAATATTGAGTAAGAGACATTCAAACACCATACAAGAGAGAGAGAGAACAGATAGAGGAGGGGTGATTCAGAGAAGGAGAGAGAAAGAGACAGAAAGGAGGGGTACGGCATCAAAAGACAGAGAGTGTTTTCTAACAGTTTGAAATGTGCTATATAAATAAACTTTGCCTTGCCTTGACTTTACTCTATTTATTATATGTAAGTGTGAACTTGGGAAACACTGGATTCCGACATATATTAACACAATCAGTGGCAACAGACACTGTCCTGTGCAGATACCCTTGAGCCATTGAATCAGATGCAGTTTATTTCACCAGATTTATGTTTGCTCAAATATTTTTATACTGCGTATCTGTACTTGTGAGTTGTTTTTAATGTAAATTGCCATGTGAGAATAAAGGTTTTTTATTTTTCACTATATTTTCGAGTGCCCTGGCATTATACATCTTTTGATGAATTAAAAAATCCCGCATCCAAAGAGCACCAATTTATGGACTGTATAACCCAGTAGCATTTTTTTGCATATATTTGATTACTTTTTTTACCACCTTTTGTTGTTTTGATTAATAAACAGCATCTTTATACGCACATACATCCTAACTTACATCTAAAGATGACTGTGATGTACTGATTTGGAGATCAGGTATATTTGTATTTACATTCATGCAATTTACAGATGTTTTTTATTAATCCAAAGTGCACATATGTGGAAGAGTATGGTAACTATAATTCATGAATGAAAAGTATTAAAATCTTCATTCATGTAACAAATGTAAATTAGGCAACTTGAAAAGATAAATAATGATAAGTAAACAGCTTTAAAATGTGCAACTAATCAATGTGGATATTTTTTGTTAAACCAACAGATATTTTTGCACTGGGAGGACTGTTACATGTGCCTACGTAAGTTATATGACACCAAGAAAGACGAAGCAGGAAGTGTGTTTCATATAAACTTGCTTAAGACAAAGTGTGAATTCAGAGATTGTAGTTGCTCTCAGAAGTGATCAGAACAATGTTGACATACAAGGTGTCTGTTAAGACTAGTAGTCAGTGTTTTGCTGGGACAATAAACAGCATTTACCTGACATTAGTTGGAACAGAGAGAAGCAGTGACAGAACTCTGCTAGACGAATCCTTTTTTGATCATTTGAAAGAGGTGAGTCCTTTTTAATTGTCATTGTTGTTTTTTTTTTTTACTATCTAAACCAAACATGTCTGGTAAGTAAAATAGTTTTGACAGGAATTATATTGGAATTGCATTGAGACAGAAAAATAATGCACACCCGAGTTGATAATGTGGCTATGGTGTTACTTTAGAATCTTTTTTTTTATTTTCCCATATTTTAACATATTTTAACATACAGTGTTTGAGACCAAAATTAAAAATTAAAAAGTCTACTTAAGGCTGATTGTAATTACAAAAATAAAGTAAATGATAAAATAGTTTTTTTAGAGTATGGAATCTGCACAAAGATTTACTCACTCTTCAAATACTGGATTACAAATGTTTTTTTTGCCCAACGGCTGAGTAAATATAGAACAGAACGCATTTTGGGTTAATCTAACCCATCAAGTTGTGTTGTTAACGAACATTTTATATAAATGAGAGGCGGTAACCGTGATAGAAAACTGTTACAAACTGTTGCTGCCTATAAAAGCGTGTTGTTGCTTTTTGCCTAATGAGCACTGAAGAAATCATGGGCTGAAACGTCTTGTCCTTGGTCTGTTTTTAAGACACTTTGCACTTTTGCATATGGAAAATAAAAGATATTTTTGATATTTTTGATTTTTGATACCTGGTTGACTAAACTTCCTATTTTATTGTTCTATGCATCTGAGAATTCATTCGTTTTTCTTTTTTAAGTGCACACAATTCCTGTTTGATGATATAAATGGCTTGAAACAACCCGCACAGAGTTGATTTTACCCAAGGAACTGGGCTGGTGTGTCAGGGTGGGAAAGGGGTACATTGATTCAACTGTCAGTGAAAATGACCCAGCCACTAACTCAGCACTTGGGTTACACAAAACTACCAAAGACTGAGAAATAACCCAATTAAATGACCCAAAAGGCTCAACCCAGTGTCTGGGTAGAAAAAATAACCCAGCATTTTTTAGAGTGCACAATTTTCATCATGTACTCAAAAAATTTGCAAGTCTAAAATGTATGCATGCACTGTGAAACAGGTGTGCGTGTGCCAGTTATTTTAATAAATTAAATACTTTAAGTTATTTTAATAAACAAGTGAGATTTTTGAATGCACAAAGAGGCCGATACTAGGTTGAACTTGATCTTAACATCATCAGAAAAAAACTTTGACAGACACCGGATGTGTGAGCAGAGCACAAACAGTACGTATGCAGAGCGGAAGCAGCACCACATATTGTACTTTGTATTTGTGGTACATGCTGAGTTTTTGTCAGAGATAGGCTAGCAGTGCTTTATCTTAATTTTAAATGTAGAGAATGTTAAAGTTAATCCATCTACAAGGAAAACTTCTTAAAGAAGCTTATTTTACTATTGATGCAGTTTATATAACTTATTTAACCTTGATTAATTTGATTTTGTTTTATCCACATTGTTTTATTTTTTCTACTTTGTGTTTCTCCACCTCCACAATCAGACAACCATCTTCCATTGTCATATTCCACCTCCCACCAGTGACACAATTCCCCAGAGGACACGTCCCTCCCCCACTTTTTGAAAATTTCCCCTTCACCTTAATGCCTTGTTTTTAAAATGACAAAGTTTCATTTTGCACCCAGCCAGCTGTGTGTAAGTTAAGGTTTATGGTGGCTACTCGTAGGTGAAAAAATGCACAACCTTCAAAATTAACAGCTATAGAGTGGTGCAGGGAGTATGTATTTTTGTAGGCCAACCTTGAAGTTAAAGGGTTGGTTCACCCAAAAATTTAAATTAGCTCATAAATGACTCACCCTCAAGTCACCCTAGGTGTATATGACTTTCTTCTTTCAGACGAATCCAGTCGGAGTTATATTAAAAATTGTCTTTGATCTTTCAAGCTGTTTAATGCCACTCCGCGGGTGTTGCATGCATCAGTCCAAAAGAAGTGAAATAAAATGTGCCCATCCATTTAAAAAAGTGTCTCACACGGCTCCGGGGGGTGAACAAAGGCCTTCTGTAGCGAATCAATGCGTTTTTGTAAGAAAAATAACCATATTCAAAGCGTAATAATCACTTTAATCTAGCTTGCGCTCATTGTTGTACACTAGAAGCAGCTCCGGGAGCATGACGTATGAGTTCAGCGCTGCGTATGCGCCGCTCAGAAGTGACGCACGCGGAAACGCAGCGGAGAGATCAAAACAAAACAACGGTCACTTATTAGAAGTACAAAACGAGGATTTGTAAAGAAGAATGTCGGAGGATTTCGATATAAGCCAAGAGGAGACTGGTTTTCCTTTGCTTCCTTTACTGCTGTAAACAAACGTTGGTTTTCACGATACTCACCAGCGCATGCACAATGCTGACCTCATATGTCATGCGCTCACTGTTGTAAACGGAAGCAGCTCCAGGAGCAAGCTAGATTAAAGTGATTATTACGTTTTGAATATGGATATTTTTCTTACAAAAACGCATCGATTCGCTACAGAAGGCCTTTGTTCACCCCCTGGAGGGCGCTTTTTATTTAACTTCTTTTGGACTGATGCATGCAACACCCGCTGAGTGCCATTAAACAGCTTGAAAGATCAAAGAACATTTTTAATATAACTCCGACTGGATTCGTCTGAACGAAGAAAGTCATATACACCTAGGTTGACTTGAGGGTGAGTAATTTATGGGCTAATTTTCATTTTTGGGTGAACTAACCCTTTAACATCACCCTGGTTCCCTTGACAATAAGCCAATGGGGATTTTTCCACTTTGTAATATTGCAGAAAATAAGCTCTATAACTAACAGAAGTTCATGATTCTTACACACTTGTTCAGCACAATATTCCTCACAAATGAACACAAGTTTTGTTGCTATAGTAACGCAACTTTAACACGCATCTGATCTGACATGCTTGCGCACGAATCACGCACACGCTCATAAGGATCTACTGCATAATAATATTAATAATAAAGCAATTAAATAATTAAATGATTAAACGTGATTTAAATAAGAATGCTAAAATAAGTTCTAGGTTTGTAATTATATATGAAGTAGTAATCAATTTACACTATTTGAAAATAATATTTTATTTTAAAATGTGCACATTCACTCTTATTCGTATGTCTAATAGTCGAAAACGCAAACGTCTCTGGAAATCCCGGGGAGTCGGGGGGACAGGACCCCCCCATCTGAGGGTTGTCCCCCTTAAAAATATGATTAAAAACCATGCCGTGTATTGTAAATAACAATGTTTTATACTTTAAATAATTGTGTAAGTACTAAAACAACACAAACGGGGCAAAAATGCGTTTTAAGTTTAGAAACATTTTGAGTCTCCCCCTCCCTTGCCTCACAGTGCTTTGGTCCAAATGCCTGCTTTCCTCTTTTACATCACCTACACACACACGAGTCCGGTGAGAGAGAACAAAGTCAATAGTTGGGGAAGTCCAGTAAGTAAGGCTGTCAAGGCTATTTTAATCACTTGAACATCGGATGAAGTGATTATTTTCCTTTTAAGTCAAGTCAAGTCAAGTCACCTTTATTTATATAGCGCTTTTAACAATACAGATTGTGACAAAGCAACTGAACAGCATTAATTAGGAAAATAGTGTCAATAATGCAAAATGACAATAGTAAACACTCATTTTTCAGTTAAAGACAGTTCATCATTGAATTCAGTGAGGTCAACATCCAGCTCAGTTTAAATAATATCTTTGCAATCATGTCAACGATAACGCTGGAAATGAAGTAAATGATCCCAGAATTTTACTGAAGTGGACTATTCCTTTTAAAGTATAACTCATGTTTTCCCTGTCTACTACCTTTCATGTAACAGCTTATGACGGTCAGTAGTGAAGGGTTTGGGACTGTGAACTTTCTTATGTTGTTATTAGCTAATTAGCATTGTCATGACTATAGTCTCCAGAGTGATTAATCACATGGCATTAACAGCTCACACGACTTTGTTCACCCCCTGGAGGGCGCTTTTTATTTAACTTCTTTTGGACTGATGCATGCAACACCCGCTGAGTGCCATTAAACAGCTTGAAAGATCAAAGAACATTTTTAATATAACTCCGACTGGATTCGTCTGAACGAAGAAAGTCATATACACCTAGGTTGACTTGAGGGTGAGTAATTTATGGGCTAATTTTCATTTTTGGGTGAACTAACCCTTTAACATCACCCTGGTTCCCTTGACAATAAGCCAATGGGGATTTTTCCACTTTGTAATATTGCAGAAAATAAGCTCTATAACTAACAGAAGTTCATGATTCTTACACACTTGTTCAGCACAATATTCCTCACAAATGAACACAAGTTTTGTTGCTATAGTAACGCAACTTTAACACGCATCTGATCTGACATGCTTGCGCACGAATCACGCACACGCTCATAAGGATCTACTGCATAATAATATTAATAATAAAGCAATTAAATAATTAAATGATTAAACGTGATTTAAATAAGAATGCTAAAATAAGTTCTAGGTTTGTAATTATATATGAAGTAGTAATCAATTTACACTATTTGAAAATAATATTTTATTTTAAAATGTGCACATTCACTCTTATTCGTATGTCTAATAGTCGAAAACGCAAACGTCTCTGGAAATCCCGGGGAGTCGGGGGGACAGGACCCCCCCATCTGAGGGTTGTCCCCCTTAAAAATATGATTAAAAACCATGCCGTGTATTGTAAATAACAATGTTTTATACTTTAAATAATTGTGTAAGTACTAAAACAACACAAACGGGGCAAAAATGCGTTTTAAGTTTAGAAACATTTTGAGTCTCCCCCTCCCTTGCCTCACAGTGCTTTGGTCCAAATGCCTGCTTTCCTCTTTTACATCACCTACACACACACGAGTCCGGTGAGAGAGAACAAAGTCAATAGTTGGGGAAGTCCAGTAAGTAAGGCTGTCAAGGCTATTTTAATCACTTGAACATCGGATGAAGTGATTATTTTCCTTTTAAGTCAAGTCAAGTCAAGTCACCTTTATTTATATAGCGCTTTTAACAATACAGATTGTGACAAAGCAACTGAACAGCATTAATTAGGAAAATAGTGTCAATAATGCAAAATGACAATAGTAAACACTCATTTTTCAGTTAAAGACAGTTCATCATTGAATTCAGTGATGTCAACATCCAGCTAATATTAAAAGCCTTAGCCTTAGCCTTAGCCTTAGCCTTAGCCTTAGCCTTAGCCTTAGCCTTAGCCTTAGCCTTAGCCTTAGCCTTAGCCTTAGCCTTAGCCTTAGCCTTAGCCTTAGCCTTAGCCTTAGCCTTAGCCTTAGCCTTAGCCTTAGCCTTAGCCTTAGCCTTAGCCTTAGCCTTAGCCTCAGCCTCGGTTTCTGACCTTCGCCTGGTTTCCTGGATTTCTCCTTTAGTCTTGCCCCTTTTTTGATTCTGTCTGCCGATCGTCGACCTGCGCTAGCCCTAGGACTATTCTTGTGGTTTGCCCATCATATACCTGTCTGCCTTTATCTGACCCATGCCTGTTTCATGACCACGTCTCTGTCTTTTCCAAAATAAAGCTTGCATATGGATCCGCACGTCTCGCGTCTCTTCAGCCCCGTAACATATATAGTGCCTACATGGTAAGTACAGACTAATAATGCGGTGCAGAGTGAGCAATCAATCAATCGAGACTCCATCTAGTCACAGAGACTTAACATGCTCCAAAAGGGGTAACCAAATTCTTGAAAATTTAACCATGGAACCTCAAATGCTGTGTTTAATTCTTATAGTTCTCCCAAAAATGAAAATGTGATGTTTATCTGCTTACCCGCAGGGCATCCAAGATGTAGGTGGCTTTGTTTCTTCAGCAGAACACATTTGATGATTTTTAACTCTAGCCGTTGCAGTCTGTCAGTCATATAATGCATGGCAATGGTAACAAAATCTATGAGTGTAAAAAAAACACGCACAGACAAATCCAAATTAAACCCTGCGGCTCGTGACGACACATTGATGTCCTAAGACACGAAACGATCGGTTTGTGCCAGAAACCCAACAGTATTTATATTATTTTTTACCTCTAATACACCACTATGTCCAGCTGTCTTTGGGCGCGCGCACGGCATCCGGTGCGTGAGGTGTGTACGCACTCTGGCATGTTTATGTATTTTCCTGTGTTGCAAAGGTTTATAAATTATTTACGTTACAAATCTAGTGAGAAAATGCACACTGTTTACCCAGATGAACGTTAAGCAATTCAGATTCACAGTATATGCAGAGGAAGAGTCTAGCCTTTAGTCTTTACTGGTAAATTACCAGTAAGTTACCGTTAAGAGATCATGTGTGAACAGGACCTTTTCAAAAATCCTGGTAAATTTGTTCTGGCCATCATATAGTTTTGTGGAGATTACATGATTACTCTGAGCTGCTTACAAAGCTCCGCTGCTTTTTAATTAGTTTTTCTATGTAAATATGTGCTAGATGGACATCTTTGAACATTGCGCCTCACAGCTTTTTGTAGCGCTTCTCCATTCATCAGCTGCGACTCTGCAATTGGATACTATAATGCGCGTCTCGTGTTTATAAGAGCAAAACATTCTGATTGGCTAGTAATGTTAGTGTGGAAGCTGTGCTCCTCTCATACTATTGGTAGGTGAACTCATGAACTCGGAAGTGATATCAAAACAAGTTTTTTTTTAAATGTAGCACTATTTTTTTCCGCAGCCAAACGCTGCACGCCGGAGATCCGGCACGGTGCCGGAGAACTTTAAGCCCATTAAAGTTATATAGGGTACCAGAGTGGGATCAAAGATGTAAAGAGGAAGACCATGAAGATATGCCAGACCATACCACCTCAGGACCAGAGCAAACTAATGGAGGTGATTGACATTGTGCACTGTTTGGGGTGGAGGATGTTGTGAAATGTAGTTTGTAGAAAAGGCAGAGATGTCGCTTAGTCTTCCTATTGAACAATTTTGTAATGTGTGATCTCCTGTCATCGATCCATCATTAGTCTTGTTACGGCCCATTTTAATAGGGTGAGAGGCGAACGAGTGATGTTAACAGGATTTTGACCACAGCCAACAGATAACAGACCAAAGACAACAAATATAAGTTTAAATAATTTAATAAAGAAGAGCGAAATGAATGTGAGGAGCATTAGCTTCGGAGAGGCCCAAGGCCAAAATAACAAACAAAGCAACTAATAAAATAGAAAAAATATAAATGACCTAATCATAAAGAAAAGAAAAGTACAAATGAACTTCCCTAACTCCCTAAACAAAAACACATCGCAAAATTAGATCAAAATAAATGGCAGACCCCTCCTTCGCTCCAAGAATTTTCTTAGGATAAACAGAATAAATCACAAATAGAAACACCAATGAACAGTAACCACGAAGCTGTTGGTGATCTGTTGACGGAGGCGGAATCCGGAGCTCTTCACACCACAGAGCTCGCCATGTTTTGTTAACGCCGCCCTTTAAAAGTCATCCGCTTCAGGATCCACCAATCATGTTCCTTGATGAACAGCCAATACCTGCACACACACACTCTCACACGTACACAAAGAAAAAACAATGATGCCGAGGATCGTAACAGTGTGCACACAACAGCAACAAGATAGTACTTCAAACAGTCGTGCAGTGTGAGAAAAGCAGTGATCCGACGACTAAGTGTGTGCCTGGCATTAGAAAACTTTAGGCCACATGTTGCCTATCTGGGCTATTCAGAACATTAATTGGTTGTCTTCTTTTGCTCAGGAGATTTATGGCTTTATTTGGTATTTACTTAAAGGGGTCCTATTATGCTCTTTTACAAAGTCTTGATTTTGTTTTGGGGGTGTACTAGAACAGGCTCTCATGCTTGGTGGTTCGAAAAACACATTATTTTTCACATAATTTACATTATTACAACACCTCTCTCCCCAGTCTGGCATGAACGGCTCGAATAGTTCCTGTATCAAATGAAGGCCCGCCTTCTGAAATACAAAATGTGCTGTGATTGGTCAGCTGGGACAGTGTGTGCTGTGATCGGTTAGCTGGGACAGTGTGTGCTGTGATCGGGTCAGCTAGGCCAGTGTGTGTCGTGATCGGGTTAGCTGGGCCAGTGTGTGCCGTGATCGGTCAGCTGGGCCAGTGTGTGTTGTGATTGGTCAGCTGGGCCAGTGTGTGCTGTGATTGGTTAGCTGGGCCAGTGTGTGCCGTGATCGGTCAGCTGGGCCAGTGTGTGCCGTGATCGGGTT